CCTTAGTACCAAGGTAGGTTGTGTGTGCCTTGTGTTGATGGTTTGAGGGAAAAATTCTTGAGGAGGCTCATAATTCTTCCTACTCCATTCACCCCGGTTCCACCAAAATGTATAGAGATTTGAGGGATGTGTATTGGTGGGGTGGCATGAAGAAGGACATTGCCAAATTCATCTCCGGTTGTCATAGTTGTGAACAAGTCAAGGCCGAACATCAAAGGCCGGGTGGTCTAACCCAAGACATAGAGATTCCTACTTGGAAGTGGGAAGAAATTAATATGGATTTTGTAGTTGGTTTACCCAAGACTAGAAAAGGTTTTGATTCTATTTGGGTGGTGGTTGATAGGATGACAAAATCGGCTCATTTTCTACCGGTAAAGACAACATATAGGGCGGAAGATTATGCAAGGTTATATATTCATGACTTGGTAAGGTTGCATGGGATTCCTCTATCCATCATATCGGACCGTGGTACTCAATTTAATTCACACTTTTGGAAGTCCTTTCAAAGGGGTCTAGGTACGAGAGTTAAGCTTACTACGGCCTTTCACCCGCAAACGGATGGACAAGCCGAAAGGACTATCCAAACACTTGAGGATATGCTTAGGGCTTGTGTATTGGAGCTTAAGGGTAGTTGGGATGATCATCTTCCATTGATTGAGTTTGCCTATAACAATAGCTATCATTCTAGCATCGGTATGGCTCCTTTTGAGGCTCTCTATGGGAGGCGTTGTAGATCACCGGTTGGGTGGTTTGAGGTTGGTGAGGTGGCCTTGTTAGGACCAGATCTAGTTATAGAGGCTCTTGAGAAGGTTAGGATGATTAGAGAAAGGTTAAAGACGACCCAAAGTCGCCAAAAGTCCTATGCCGATGTGAGGAGAAGGGCTTTTGAATTCCGAGTTGGTGATTGGGTATATTTGAAGGTGTCACCAATGAAGGGTGTGGTTCGTTTTGGTAAGAAGGGAAAGTTGGCCCAAGGTACGTGGGTCCTTATAAGGTAATGAGGAGAATTGACAAGGTAGCTTATGAGTTGGAATTGCCTAGCGACATGGATTTGGTTCATCCGGTATTTCATTTGTCTATGTTGAGGAAGTGTGTGGGTGATCCCTATACCATTGTGTCTCTTGATGTTGTGGGTGTTGTTGAAGATAATTTCACCTATGAAGAGGTTCCGGTCCAGATTTTAGATAGACAAGTAAAGATGTTGAGAAACAAAGATGTGGCTTCCGTTAAAGTCCTTTGGAGAAATCAACAACTTGAAAGTGCTACTTGTGAGGCCGAAGCGGACATGCAAAGGCGATATCCTTATCTTTTCCACTCCACTCAAGCCTAAGGTATTGATCTAAGCCCTTTATAAAATCTCAGGTCTTAAGTTCAGCCCCCATGTCATTGCATACATTTATGTTTAAGTTGACAAGTTCATTGTGGTTTTACAACTATGTTGAAGTTTTTTTTTTGAAATAAGGTGTAAGTGCATTTCGCATCCTTATGTGGGCTGAAATTGCCATGTTTGTGTCCATCATGTACGTTTCTTTAACATTCGGGGACGAATGTTCCCAAGGGGGAGATAATGAAACGACCCAAAAAATGCTCGAAAATGTGCTTCGAAAACATCTATAATTGTAATTTCCATATATCTCAAAATCCGTGCATGATTTCAGAAATTAGACTTCATATTCTTATTCAGGGGGTCAAATTGAGTGGGAAATGGGTCTAACCTGAATTTTAGAGCAACCGTATCGAAATTCGAAAATCACAAAAAATGCGATATGGAGTGTCAAATTTAAAGAGGCATATCTCTTAGCACACAAGGAACTGCAAGGGCCACTACCTATTAAATTAATGCCCTTTGAGTTAGCTTTCCAACGCACCTGGTTTCACCTCATTCCGAGTTAGGATGAGTAAGTTATGACCATTTTAGTAAAACTTGTCTGTGAAGATTCGCAATTTCCAGTAAGCTGTTTTTTTTTTAAAGCCTCATTTTTGAGGCTAAGTGTTGGGGCGTTTTTTTTATAAAAAGGGGATTTGTCCCATACTTAGTCATATTTTTTTTCTAACTTCAAAACACTCAAAAACACTCTCTAAGCCCTCTCCAAAATTCCACCAAGATCTTAAACCAAATTCAATGATCTCAAGCTCTAATTCCGGATTGAAGACTCAATCTCAAGCTTCAATTCTCCATTCCAATCTTCATCAAGGATTCTCCAAAGTTGAGGTATGTGGGTTTGATTGTGGAAACCTTCCTTTCCACAAGTCCAACCATTTATCCTCTATTTTTACTTCAAGTTTATGGGTCCTTATGGTTATTTATGAACTCTTGAAGTATGGAATTACTACTACACACCCCATTATGGTCTATTTTGCATATTATCATGAAATGAAATTATTATGTGATGTTTATGGTTTTCATGCTTCCATGATCAAATTATGAAGGTTGATATATATATATATATATATGTTGTTGGTGGGCTGATTTATATGGATTTTGGAATTGGTTGGACTTAGTACTCTTGAAATGCATTATTTTATTTACATGAACAATAGCCCACCATGTGTTTGATAAAATGCCGACTTATAGAATTCTTAGGAAATGGAAGGTCCATTGTACGTCCTATGAGTCGTATGGTCATATAATCATTGAAATGATGATGAAATAGATACATGTATATGATTTTCTCTATATAAGTGTTGTGAGTCGACCAAGCCTAGCTCGGGGGATTGTAGGCCCGGGTAACTACGGGGGGTAGTAGACCCGTATAACCACATCGAGGGGTTTGTACCTTGGTCCCTAGCTCGGGGGGTGGTAGGCCCGGGTAACCACATTGAGGGGTTTGTACCTCTTTCGCCTCTCCAAGGGGGTGGTAGGCCTTGGAAATACTATATTGATGGTCACTCGCCACACATGTACTACGTCCCACTAAATATGATTTTTATGTAAGCATCATTATACATATTATCTCATCAATATGTTATCTATCGGGTATGATTATGCATTTTGCCTATGATGTCCATCTATTATTGCATTGCATTGCATCTCATATACTTAGTACATTCAAACGTACTAATGCATACTCTATGCCTACATGATGTCACCTTGTAGGGACCGGAGCACCGCGTGACCTTCCTCCCCCGCGTGGCTAATACGATTTTCTATCGAGGTTATTGGTGAGTCCTCCATTCCGGGGACGTTGCTTATGATCTTTTGCTATGTATAAGACTTTTCCTTTTTAGTTATGTTTTGACTATGAGGGTGAGCCCGGTTGTTTGTCTTGGCCCCCGCTAAAGTACCCATGTTTAGAGGTGGTGTTGGACAAGTTGTGTATTATGCTTGAGCTTGACTCATCTGTGGTATTTATGTATCATTTTTTTTTCTTGCTCCCTTAGTCCCGATTTCCCCCTTGATTATGCTTATCGCTTATGGTCATTTTAATTACTTCCGCGACCAAGGATGTTTAATGATACGCTATGAGGCTTGTTTGGGGTTCCTTTGGGTTCCCCATTCGCCGGTCACGTCTAGGCCCTAGGCTTGGGTCGTGACATGATGCCACCACCAATTTAGGTTGTTCAGAAAATATTCTTGCTTGTATTTTTCCTTTGGTGTGAATTTTCTTATTTGGCCCTTTATTCCAGGCTTTTCCTCCAAGGTTAAATATTCTATTTTATTTTTTTGGGGAGGATTCTTCTTCTGACATTCAAATATCCTTTCATTTAAAAAGTAAAGTTGTAAAAACGATGATCCTGGTTACCTGTGCCTACATCATAAAATGATGCAGGCCAAATGACATTAGTACAGTGAATGTATAAGTATCCGAGGGGAAAACTAAACATAATATAAGCTCAAAAGAAATCTGAAAGAAACACTTACCTTGGCTTTACTCAACTCATGAATAACTTAACTCAATATAAATCAATAAAACACATACAACATATGGAAAGCTTGTAAAATAGTGGAAAAGTAACTCAGTTGTTAAAGATATGCAACAACAAACTCAACTTTACTCATATAATAAAGTAATATAGTTTCTGTGGGAGTTTCTCTAACCGACAACGACCACTATGAGCCTAAGTGATGTTACACAGTCTTTCCCACACTTTCAGAACTATCTTATACTTTGACATCATATAGAACGCCTTAACTAAGTGGATCCATTAGTCTATGCTTGAAAGCACTAAGGAATCATCTAAAAAGTATGATCCTTTACTACCTATGATGGCTACATGGTTTATGGAGACTTGAGTTATTATGAACTCGCGTCCCCATATCGTTGCTCAATACTACTCCCAAAATGTACTTAGCTCATATGTGTTTAAACAAAAAATCTTTCTTTGGTTTGAGATAATTACTCAAAACTTAGATTAAATGCTCTCCTGGAAATCAGTGTTTCCCTTTCTTGCTCAAATGTGAAAACATTTTTAACTCTTGGGAATACTTAGTTCCCTTATAATCTTTGAAGAATCAAAATTTACTCTTACTCTTTACCCAACTCATAGCTTAAGTCTTAAAACAAAGTTAAAACGTTAGTGAAAGTGTTTTGAAAAACATTATGAACTTCTCTTGACTTACCTCTTAACTTTCCTTGAAATGAATTATGCATTCAAGGTTCATGATCTCATGCTTATGGATGATATCATGATGTTTAGATGGACCTTAGAGTGTTGGAATCAACTAGAAAACATAGCTACATTGCTAAGGAACTAATACGGAAAGACGAGGGAAAAATGGAAAGAACTAGCGTCCCTGGCGCTCTGAAAGTCGCGGGGTGCCAGCAATTAAATTTCAGAGGAGAATTTGGGGGGCTCTGGTTGGTGCGACACCCCAGTGGTCAAACTTCAGAACCCCTTTTGGGGAGCTCTAGCTTGGGCGGCGCCCCAGGACCCTGCCCAGGTGGGTTCCGACTTTTCTTGCTCGTTTTTCATCTCTAAACCCCCTATGTTAGCTTGGTTCTTTACCCAATCACTTAGAATAAACAATATCATCAAAATACATTAGATTATACTAGAAATCACACCTAAAATCATGAATCAAACTCAAGACAATTGAACAACAAGAACCCACAAAATTTTAATCGAATTAACATTAAGAACTCATAGGATTTAATTTCAAAACTATATAACTTCGCTAAATTGAATCACGATTGACGCGTGGGTGAACTAACCATATGCTATGTGATCTCACATACCTCGAAGGGATCACCCGTTTACGAAATCCACACGCAAACCTCCAAGAAATTGACGAATCTTGAACTTTCTTTTCTTTTGTCCTCTTTTCTCTTTTCTCCAAACCCTAGCACGAATTTCAAATTGAATAAACTAATCTAATTCTGATTAGACCCCAAATAAACTCCTACAAAGGAATTAAAATAATTGGGTAAGGAAAAGACTAAAATACCCTTCCAAAATCCGATCAAGGCTTTCCTTATTTGAACAGGCCAACTTCAAGTGGGCATATCTCACTCATATGAACTCGGAACACAAACATGGCGGCGTTGGAAAGATTATTACAACATATTTCCTACTATATCGGGAAACAAACCTAACTCATTCCGAGCTAGGAGTTATGGTTGTTTGAAGTTGACCAAAAACTCAGCTTAACATAGTTAACAAATTTTCCAGATTTTTATATTCATTCCAAAAATGACTATTTCTAATTCTTATCTTCTTCCTTCTTATTTCAATTTGCGAGATGTTACATGGTCAATACTTATTTACTATTTTTAGAAGGTAGCTCTTTAGTCTTAAAGAAAAATAATTGCAATATTTGAATATTTGGTCAATACTTATTTATTATTTGTAGAAGGTGGAATGTTTGAGGAGACCCTTCTTCTTATCCTAATTTGACTAAACTTTTGTGGCATTAATTTTGCTGAGTCGGATAAAGTATGCGGTTACACATATATAAAAGTTAGTGAACACAAATTTTAAATTAAAATATATATATAAAAAAGATTATCGGGTGGTGGTTTTGGGGTGGGGGGAGGATTATAGAAAAAAAGAATTAAATAAATCCTGAATTTGCTTTCTTCTTTGAACTTTTGAACTATATATATAAATGGGATAAGGTGGAACCCCCTAGACTATGACGATATCTTAGAGATACATCTTAACTAAACTAAGGTCATATTACCCCGTTAAATCTTTTTTTTTTTTGTAATTTTGTACACCTTTTTGGCTTACGTGACATCCAAATATCTCCCAAACGCCTCAACTGCATGGAGTCACGGGGTGTGCCACGTACGCCAAAAGGTGTACAAAATTACAAAAAAATGAGTTTAGGGGGGTAATAGGACCTTTGTTTAGTTAAGGTCTATCTCTAGAATTTTGCATAGTCTTGGGGGATACTTGTTCCTTATCCCTATATAAATAAAAGGCATAATACATAAATATGCCATTTAACTTGCCTTAAGTTTGCATCTATACCCTCCAACTTTTGGTGTGCACAGGTAGACACTTTTAAATTTTTAAGAAGCTGAAAAAGTAGACACATGCGTCGTACGTAGCATAATACATGTAGGGTACCGCGTTGGACGTGAATTTCCACGTATAATGCCAAGTAACACATGTGTATCTTCTTGTTCAAGTCTATACAAGCTTAAGTACCTACTTGTACAAACCCAAAGTTGGAAGGTTTTGGTTCCAGATAAAGTCATGCTAAAGAGAACATTAATGTATTATGCCTAAAAAAAATGATGATTCCTTAGGCAACATTTTGAACTTATTTCTTATAAGATAGAAAAAAATGTCACCTTTGAGTTGTAAGATTCTTAAAAATTAGAAGAAATTAAGTTCTTCTGAAAGATTTTTCCTTTCAATATACCCTTTAACTTGACCTAATTTCATATTTATGTCCTTCAAATTTGGGTGTGTAGAAGTAGACACTTAAACTTGTATAAAGTTAAACAAATAGACACATGCGTCTTATGTGACATCCTACATGGTGATTTGTGTCTGATGTGGTGTCATAGGTATATTTTTCTACCAGGGACACTTGTATCTACATGTTCAACTTTATACAAGTTTAAGTGTCTACTCATGCACACCCAAAGTTAGGGGGCATAAATATGAAATGAGGCAACTCTGCAGAAATTTGAAATAGCTACACTGTTTTCAAGAGGCCATTTTTTTTTCGTTTCCTTCTTTCAATGACCTTTTCATTTTTCTTTCTTTGAAATTTTATAATTAGATTTTATATAATTGAAGGAGATTAAAACTAGTCTATTTTAAAAAGATGCATTTCTTTTTTATGTTTTGACAAGTTTTTAATTGCTACAGTATTTTTTACCTAGTGTCATTCAAATATATAAAAAGGACAATATTTTTGTCAATGGATTGAAGGTGTGAGTGTTTAGGCGTCGGATCATTGTATACTTGTGAGTTGTATGTGCTTCCTATTATTGATGAATGGATTGGTTATCCATTTTGTTGTTGTAGGCTATGGTAACACCTAGCCCCCAATCTCTCTCGATCCCTATTTTGAAATTATAATTTTATTGTTTGAATCATGGACGTTCTTGATCATCGGTGAATTAAAAAATATTCATTACTATAAATAGTTGGATTGGTCTAGACATGAGTAGGATTACATCATGTCAACATTATGACAATGTATCTAATAATAAAAGAGTTGGCATAAGGAAAATGTTTTAATAAGAACCATTGGTGAAATAGCACACACATGAAAAATAGTTATTTGAGCAAATGGTGGAATCAATTGCCACCACCACCGTGGCCCCATACTCATCCGTACCAAACCACTACCACGATTTTGACCACCACCACCACCACCATTTTCTCCCCATCCATGACCCTCACCATATCCAATGCCAAAACTATATTCTCCATCACTACCTCCTCCTTCACCACCACCTCTACCGCCGCCTTCACCACCATTTGAACCGAAGCGGTAATCTCGCCATATCAAATGCCAAAACTAGATCCACCATCACTACCTCTTCCTCCTCCACCACCACAACCACCGCCACCAATTAGGCCCTCTACAATTTTGCCAAATCCATCATTTTCACCTGATCCATGACCCTCGCCAAATCCAAATCCATCACCTAATCCCCCATCACTACCTCCACCATCTCTGGCGCCACCACCACCACCGTCACCACTAAGACCACCTATAATTTCATTGAATTCACCATTGAAGTTAGGTAAACTGGGTAATAATGGATATATTGTAGGGAAGCTTCCTTGCTAAGGAAATTTACACTAGAACTCCCTAAACAACAATTAGCATCACCTCGCATCAAATCTTTGTAGTATATAATGTCAGCACTAAACAGAAAAATAGCATACCTTCGATTAGTGGCACAACTAGAAGTTCTATTACCTCTAATGAGAGAATTCAAAAAACTATGTTTGACTCGAAATTTGATTTGAGGCATAAATTAATTTTTAAATCACTTTTACTATGACACTAAAAGTTCCCCTAAATGTTAAGGAAATTTGACAATGTGCACATATACAAAACTATTTTATCTTATTTACGCAATATTATATCGCAACTAAAGAGAATCAATTAAACCCCTTCCAATAGTTAGCTCCACTTGTAATAACCACAACAAGAAATCAAAATTTTACGTGATGACTTTTTTTGCTGGTTCATGTAGCCACCAAAAAAAAGTAAGAGTTTTTGCGACGAATGCGCCACAAAAAATATCGAAGTGAGCACTAGTCATTATTATGACTTCCGTTGTTAGCTTAAAATATATATGCAAGTTTTAAAATTATGTAATACTATGTAACTTGTATGAAGTTCTCCAAAAATATATATTTTTTTTAAAGTATCTGACATGAGCTTATATATTTTTTTTTGCAAAGTTCAAGCAACATAAATTTGAAGAAGAATGTATCTTACTTTGCTTTCGTGGCATTTGTTTTGTGAGGCTAAATGCTCACCATGAAAATGCTAAAATATTACTTAGAATGTTGTATTAATTAAAATTTGAGATACTATGAAAAATCATAATAGATAGGTAATGGCATGGTTAGTGGCTAATAACTAGAAGTATAATTAATTAATCTATAAATATTTGCAAAACATTAAAAGCGAAAAGAAAATTGAAGTGAATGTATACGTAGTTGAACATCAATAAAGAAAAGGGAGTTACTGAATTATGTCTTGCATTTTGATTATTTATTGGAAGTATATAAAACTAATACTTTCTCTGGTTCAAAATATTTGTCTAATTTTCTATTTACACGTCCCTTAATATCCATTGTTTAGGAGGGTATTTGTCTCTGAGATTTCGATCATAGTTGTCACTCCCTGACCCTACACCCTGGACATGGCCAACAATCGAGAACCATTATTGGCCCAATTGAACCCTTGGCCTGGCTCAACTCTCAACGGAAGTCTATGTAAAGTGAAATGGAATCGCACAAACAACTCAACTCATAAGAAAAGTAGTTAACTCAAAATACTTAAATGAACATAGGTGTTCAACTCACAATCTTTAAAACATTAACAAGGGAAATGAAAGAATGAATCCTTAAGTACAACTGCCTATCTATGAAGCCTCTAATACTATGAAGGATTTCGGGAAAAGACCCCCGATCATCCTAACAAAACTGAAATAATAGAAATAAATAAGGGATCTTCCGGAAGCAAGGAGGCTCACCAATGCTAACTCAAACTGCTATGGTATCAACGAAGCGCCCGCTGATGACCTTGATCTCCTGTATCTGAATCATAACATGATGCAAGACAAATGACATCAATACATTCATAGTACGAGCATGTAAGGGAAAACACTGAACATAACATGAAATCTTGAACTTGGACAGAAGGAGTCATACTCACTTCAACTCTACTCAACTCAACCTCAATTCATGGTTGTTCAACTCAATGCAGTATAAAAACCACAATAAAGATTCAGTTTATATAAATCATTTAAAACACTAGACAACAACCTAATATTTAAAAATACAATAATAACTCAGTTTGTATGGAAAGAAGCCAATTAACTCAATTTGGAAGATTCTCTAACCGACAACCATCACTATGAGCTATGTGATGATACATCGCTTCACCCACATTGCCAGAACTGTCTTATACCTTGTCGGTGTATAAGACATCATCAACTAAGTAGATCCACTAAGTTGTGCTTAAAAATTATGACCCTTTCTACCCACGTTGGCTACATGGTTTATGAGAACTATGAGTTGTATGAACTCGTCCCTATATCGTGCTCAATACTACTTCCAAAAATATACTCAACTCATACGTTTAAAAATATTTTCTCATCCTCAAGCTTTGAGATTATTACTCAAAAGGTTCCCTTAAAAAAGATTATACTCAAAAACTCCTTATGAGCTCATTTGAAAATCGATGTTTCCCCTCATTTTAAATGTAAAAATATTTACTCTTGGGAATACTTAGTTCCCGTATATTCATTTTGAAAAATAAAATTCAACTCTCCTCATACTCAAACTCAAGTACTCAAGTCTTAAAAAAGTTTTAAAAGATTGTAAAAGACTTCTCAAAATGACTCGAAAGAACTCTCAAGACTTTACTCTTAACAATTCCTTGAATTTGAATTATGAATCCAAGGGTTATGATTAATGTTATGAAGGATCTCTCAATTATTAGATATAGTTTAGAGTAACTAGAATTAGAAAGGAGTAAAGGTACATCTTAAAAGAACTCAGATGGGTCAAACGACGGATGTAGAACTGGGCAGGCGACCCTGGCGCACTTTGTGGCGCAAGGCAACAATCCCTAAACTTCAGAGGCGTAGTTTTCTAGCACGGCGTGCTAGTCTCTTTGTAACACCCCAGAAATGTTTTGAGCTAAGACTCGAACAGTTGTTCATTACGAGTAAGATTTTACCATGGAATTTAAAATTTTCTTTAAGTTTTAAGGTCACTAGACGAAGCACCTTGAGTTCCAAAAAGAACTAAAGAGAATACCTTCAAGTCATTCCTAAGTTCTTTTATGTTTTGGGTCAACTTCAAACGACCAAAACTTTTAGCATAGAATGAGTTAGGAGACTCATATGATATCAAATGAAATATCTCTAAGTCATCTTTCCAACGCCATCGACTTTGCTAATTTTTGAGCTCGTATGAGGGAGACATGCCCTTTTTAAGTCAGGATGTCCATTTAAGGAACGTTACTCGAAAATAGGAGGGGTATTTTAGTTTTTTCCTTGTCCCCACTTATTCTAAACTAAAATTATATCCATTTAAAGGTCTAAAATGGTTAGAATCAATATCATTCATTCCAAAAAACATTTAGGGTTTAGAGAGAAGATTCAAGGGGAGAAAAAGCTCAAAGTTTCAAGCATTCATTCAATAAATTCAAGATTTCGACAAGAACTTAGTTCTTTAACGTACGTAAGCTTCCATAGTGTTGAGTTTCTCACCCACACTCCAATCATGAGTTTTTTTTGGGGAATCTATCCATATATATTGACCAATTTAAGTTCTTGATGAGTTCATTTGCGAATCTATCCGTAAATTCTCCATGAACTCCATAAACTGAGTATCTTTGAGAGGAGTAGTATCTTTAAGTTCTAATATAACATCTCGCTAATTGAAAGGACTACAAATAGTCATTTTAAGAAAGAATGAAAAATTTGGAAATTTTTTCACCTATGTTAAGTTTTGGTTTTTAGATAACTTCAAATGATCATAACTCGTAGCTCAGGAAGATTTAGTTGTGCTTCTAGATACCGTAGGAAATATCTTAGAATTATCTTTCCAATGCAGCCAATTTTGTGTGATTCCTAGTTCGTATGAGTGAGATATGACCATTGGAAGTTGGATGTTTAAAAACGGAAAGTGCAATCCGGATTTTGGAAGGGTAGTTTGGTCTTTTCCTTACCAAATTACTTTATTTCATTTTTAGAAGTTTAATTGGGGTCTAAACTGCACTTGGTCAGTTTACGCTTTTGAAAACTAAGTTAGGGTTTTGAGAGAAGAGAAAAGAAGAGGAGAAAATAGGAGAAGGAGCAAGAGTCGTCAAGTTCTTCAATAATGATTTATGATTTCGTCAAGGGGTAATCCCTACGAGGTATGTGATATCACATAGCATTGGGTTAGTTCACCCATGTGTCAATCATGATTCAATTCATTGAAGTTATATTGATTTGAAAATAAATCCTATGAGTTCTTTATGTAAATTCATTTGAAACCTTATGAGTTCTTGTTGCTGAAGTTTCTTGAGGTTGATTCATGTATTTAGGTGTGATTTTGAGTTGAATCTTGTATATATTGTGGATATAGTCGATTCTAAGTATTTGGGGAAAGAACCAAGTTGAAATAGGGGGTTTAAAGTTGAAAAACAAGCAAGAAAAGTTGAAGTGCACCTAAGCAGGGGCCTGAGGCGCCTCCCCAGCCAGAGCGCCCCAAAAGGGTCTCTATAATTTTGGCTCTAGGGTGCCACGCCAGCTAGAGTACCTCAACCCAGCCCCTAAAATTGAAGGGCTGGCGCCCCACGCCTCTCAGAGTCCCAGGGACACCATTTCTTCCTATTTCTACCCTATCTTTCCTTACTAGTTCCTTAGAAACGTATCTATGTTTTTAAGTTGATTCCAACACTATCAGGCACGTCTAAATATCATGAAATCATCCATAAACATAAGATCTTGAACGTTGAATCCATAATTCAATTCAAGGAAAATTAATAGTCAAGTCTAGAAGTTAAGAATTAAGTCAAGAGAAGTTCATAAAGTTTTCAAAAGTCTTTCACTAACGTTTTAAGACTTAACCTTCGAGTTTAGTAAAGAAGTAAGAGTAAGAGTTCATTTCTTCAAATATTATACGGGAACTATGTATTCCCAAGAGTTAAAATGTTTTCACATTTCAACAAGAAAGGGAAACACCGATTTCCAAGAGAGCTTTTAAGCTAAGTTTTGAGTATTTATCTAAAACCAAAAAGGAGTTTTGTTTTAAAAACATATGAGCTAAAAATATATTTTTGGAGTAGTATTGAGCACTGATATGGAGATGCGAGTTCATAAGAACTCATGTCTCCATAAACTATGTAGCCATCATGGGTAGAAAAGGATCATACTTTTTAGATGAATCCTTAGTACTTTATAGCATAGACTAGTTGATCCACTTAGTTAAGGCATTCTATATGACGACAAAGTATAGGAAAGTCCGGGCAGCGTGGGCAAGATGTTGTATCACCACTTAGGCTCATAGTGGTGGTTGTTGGTTAGAGAAACACCCACATAAACTATGTTACTTTATTATATGAGTAAATTGAGTTTTTATTGAATTTATGTAACAAATTTAATAGATACCTACTGCTTTAAATGCTTTGTACAACTCCACTCTATTTATTGTTGAGTACCTTGCATTTGAGTTAAGTTGTTCACGAGTTGAGTGAAGCCAAGGTAAGTGTTTCTTTTAGATTCCTTTCAAGCTTATGTTATGTATAGTATTGCCCTCTCATACTCGTACATTCAATGTACTGATGCCCTTAGGCCTGCATCTTTTTATGATACAGACACAGGTAACTAGGATCAACATCCAGCGCCTCGTTGATCTAGTCAAGCACTTAGAGTCTGTTGGTGAGCCTCCTTTCTTTCCAGAGGGCTACTTTTTACATGGCATTCTAGTATTTCAGTTTTTAGGATGATTTGGGGTCTTGTCCTGACATCTTTCTTTGTTTTAGAGGCTTTATAGATGAGTAGTTATAATTCTTTAGTCTTATCCATTTCAGATGTTGTTTAAAGACTTGAGTTTGCCTTATTAGCTAGATTGAATGTTCCATTAAATACATTCTAAGATTTATTCATAAGTTTCTTGTTTGAAATTATTTCTTATGTTTAAGTCTTCCACTGAGTAAGTAAGCTAGGCCAAGGATTCACTTGGGGCCAGAAATGTATCTGAAGTGGCAGTCCCACCAAGGGAGTAGGCTCGGGGCATGACAAACTTGGTATCAGAGCACATAGTTCAAGAGTCTTAGGGAGTCTATGAAGCCGTGTCTGTAGAGTCCTAGTTATCGGTGTGAAGCGTACCACATCTGTAATTAGGATGCTGCGACAGTTAAAAAATTCTCACTTATTTCACAGTCATTTCGTGCGATAGAGTTCATCTTTATAAAGTCTCTTTCTAATTCATGCTTGCACGTGTTTTTCAGTTAACCATGCCTCCACAAAGAGCCGCCTAAGGTTGTCCTACTAGGAAGAATGTTGAGGAGCAAAGGGTACCTAATGCACCTAAAGTGCAACCCCAAGGGGAAGTTACAAATGCGTAGTTCAGGGATGCGATAAGAATGTTGAGTCAAGTTGTGACCAACCAAGTTGGAAAGAGAGAAAACCAACAAGAATGGAATGATACTTTGAAGATTCCTGAGTTCTTGAGGATGAATCCTCCAAGTTTCACTAGTTCAAGCACTTTTTATGATCCAGAGAACTTTATGAGGAGCTGCAAAAAGTATTTGAGGTCATGCACATTGATGATGCTGAGCGAGTTGAACTAGTTACATATCAACCGATGAATGTTGCTAGGACTTGGTTTGACCAGTGGAACAAGGGTAGAGTTGAGGGATCACTACCTGCGAGTTGGGCTTGTTTGAGGAGGCTTTCTTGGGGCATTTCTTTCCTCAAAAACTATGAGAGGCCAAGGTACGAGAGTTTCTCACTCCTAAGAAGGATACATTAAGTTTTCATGAGTATGGTTTAAAGTTCACCCAACTGTCCCAATATGCTTCGAAGATAGTTGCAGATATGTGAAGAAGAATGAGTCTTTTTGTTGTTGGGTTGTCTCCTCTGTCAAGCAAAAAGGGCAAGGCAGCTATGCTAATTGGGGACATTGATATAGGAAGGTTGATGGTTTATGTGCAGCACGTTGAGGAAAAGAAGTTGAGGGATAGAGAGGGGTTTAGAAACAAGAAGGCTACGACAGGGAATGCGTTCGGGCAGCAGAAAAAAAATGTGAACTGGTCTTCTTTCAAACAAAAGTAGAAGGAACCTGCTCCATCATCTACTAGTGCACCTGTACCCAGAAATAAAGGTGAGTATAATAGTGAGAATTCACAGCCTTCCATAGTTAGACCTGCACAGTCTCAGGGTATTGTGGCAGAAGGAGGTAACTGGGCTCCTGCATGTGTTAAGTGTGGTAGAACCTATCGAGGTAAATGTCGTGATGGCTCCACATGTTGTTTTAAGTGTGGACAAGAGGGTGACTTCATGAAATATTTCCCTAAGAATCGGCAAAGTAATGTGAATCAAGGAAATAGAGTCCAATCTTCATCAGTTGCTCCACTAGACAGGGCTACTCCTAGAGGAGCTACTTCCAGTACTGCGGAGGAGCAAACTGCCTTTATGCGATCACTAGTCGCCAAGAGCAAGAAAATTCTCCAGATGTTGTTAATAGTATGATCAAAGTCTTTACTCTTAATGTTAAAGTTTTGCTAGACCCAGGAGCAAGTTTATCTTTTGTGACTCCTTATGTTGCAAAAAAATTTGATGTTCTTCGTGAGAAACTCTGTGAACCCTTTTGTGTTTCTACACCAATTGGGGAGTTTATTCTAGCTGAGCGAGTATATCGTGATTGTGTCATTTCCATCAATCACAAGGTCACCACGGCTAATTTAGTTGAATTAGACATGGCAAAGTTTGTTATTTTTCTTGGAATGGACTGGCTTCATCTCTGTTATGCCTCCATTGATTATAGAACTCGAGTTGTCAAGTTTAAGTTTCCAAATGAGCTAGTCTTAGAGTGGAAAAGTAGTTCAACATTGCCTAAGGGTCATTTTATTTCGTACCTTAAGGCAAGAGAGTTAGTTTCCAAGGGGTGTGCCTATCAGTTACTCCGAGTTAACGACTCTTGTGTTGAGATACCTCTTATTCAGTCAGTTTTAGTAGTAAAAGAGTTTCTAGAATTCTTTCCTGATGATCTTCCCGGAGTCCCTCCTTAGAGAGAAATACAGTTTGGTAGACATTATTCCAAATAGTCGTCCTATCTCTATTCCGCCATATATAATGGCACCAATAGACTTCAAAGGGTTAAAAGAACAGTTGAAATATCTCCTTCATAAGGGTTTTGTTCGACCAAGTGTCTTACCTTGGGGTGCTCTGCTCTTATTTGCGAGAAAGAAAGATGGTTCCCTTAGAATGTGTATAGATTATCACTAGTTGAACAAGGTTACCATAGCGAATAAATATCCTCTTCCGAAAATTGTTTATCTTTTCGATCGGCTTCAAGTTGCTACTTGTTTCTCTCAGATAGACCTCAGATCAGGCTACTATAAGTTAAGAGTGAGGGAATGTGATATTCCAAAGATGGCCTTCAGGACCCGTTATGGTCATTATGAGTTTCTGGTTATGTCATTTGGTATGACCAATGCGCTTGCCGCATTTATGGACCTTATGAATAGAGTATTCAAACTTTACTGAGATATGTTTGTTATCGTATTCATTGATGAAATACTAATATATTCGAGGAATGAAGAAGATCATGATAGTCATATTAGAATAGTTCTCCAAGCTTTAAACGGTAGAGAGTTGTATGCCAAGTTCTCCAAGTGTGAATTTTGGCTTGAGTCTGTGGCATTCTTAGGCCACATTGTGTCTGGAGAGGGAATTAAAGATGTTACTCAAAAAATAGAGACAATGTAGAATTGGCCTAGACGCACATCTCCAACTGATATTAGAAGTTTCTTGGGTTTGGATGGCTATTATAGGAGGTTCGTAGAGGGGTTCTCATCTATTTCATCCCTTTTGACCAAGTGAACTCAGAAAATAGTGAAATTTCAATGGTCTAAAGCTCGTGAGAAAATCATACAAAAATTGAAAAAGAGGTTGACTACTGCCCCAGTTTTGACCTTACCAGAAGGTACTCAAGGTTTAGTGGTATATTGGGACGCGTCTAGAGTTGGTTTGGGTTGTGCGTTAATGCATAATTTCAAGGTTATAGCATATGCCTCCAGACAGTTGAAATTTCATGAGAGGAACTACCCAACACATGATCTAGAGTTGGTTGTCGTAGTATTTTCTTTAAAATATGGCGCCATTATCTTTATGGTGTTCATGTGGGTATGTTCACCAATCACAAGAGTCTTCAATATGTGTTTACTCAGAAAGAGCTTAATCTCAGAGAAATGAGGTGGTTAAAATTACTCAAGGATTATGACATGAGTATTCTTTATCACCCAGGTAAGGCTAATGTTGTTACTGATGCTTTGAGCAGGTTCTATATGGGTAGTACCACCCATTTTTAGGAAGATAGAAAGAGATAGCAAGAGATGTGCGATTGGGAGTTAGACTAATGGATTCCACAAAAGGATGAGTAATGGTGATGATTAGGGCCGAATCATCTTTAGTGTCGGAAGTGAAAGGAGAGCACGATCAAGACCCCATTTTGCTTGAATTGAAGGCAAATGTTCATAACAAAAAATTAATGTGTTTTGGACAAGGGGTAGATGGTGTATTGAGGTATCAAGGTAGATTGTCTGTACCAAGGTTGGATGAACTCCAAGAGAGGATCATGGAGGAAGCTCACAGCTCCAGATATTCTATCCATTCGGGTACCACAAAGATGTATCATGATTTGAGAGAAATTTATTGGTGGAGTAGTATGAAGAAGAGCATTGTAGAGTGTGTTGCTAAGTGTCCGAATTGCCAAAAAGTTAAAGTAGATCATCCAAGGCCCGGAGGTTTGGCTCAAAATATTGAACTCCCAGAATGGAAGTGGAAGATGATCAATAAGGAATTCATAACAGATTTGCCAAGGTCTCTCAGGTAAAATTATTCTATTTGGGTGATTGTTGAGAGAATGACAAAATCAGCCTACTTTTTGCCGGTAAGACTACCCATTCAGCCGAAGATTATGCTAAGTTTTATTTTCAAGAGGTAGTTAGACTCCATGGGGTTTCGGTCTCCATTTTTTCAGACAGAGGTGCGTAATTTATTGCACTATTTTTAGAAGTCATTCCTAAAAGGATTGGGTTCAAAGGTGAACTTAAGCAATAACTTTCATCCTCAGACAGATGGTCAAGCAGAGTGCACTATTCATACCTTAGAGGATATGTTGAGGGGGTTGTGTGATTGATTTTAAAGGTAATTGGGATGATCACCTACTTCTTACTAAATTTTCTTACAACAATAATTACCATGCTAGCATCCAAATAGCTCCTTATGAATCTCTCTATGGGAGAGGATGCACATCTTTTATTGGATGGTTTGAAGTTGGTGAAGCTAGGTTGATAGGACCAAATTTAGTTCATCAAGCTATGGAGTAGGTAAAACTAATTCAAGAGATATGAAAAGAGCGCAGAGTCATCGGAAATCCTACACTGATGTTAGGAGGAGAGAGTTAGAATTTGAACTAGATGATTGATTCTACTTGAAGGTTTTATCCATGAAGGGTGTTTTGAGATTTTTAAGAAGGGGAAGCTTAGTCCCCGGTATATTGGTCCTTACCGAATATCCAAGAGGATTGGCAAAGTGGCTTATGAGTTGGAGCTACCACAAGAGTTAGCAGCGGTTCATCCGGTATTTCATATTTCCATGTTGAAGAAGTGCATGGGAGATCCTTTACTTATCATACCAACTGAAGATATTGGTATCAAAGATAGCTTATCCTTTGAGGAGATTTCGGTTCAAATTCTAGATTGTCAAGTTTGCAAGTTGACGACTAAGGAAGTAGCATTAGTCAAAGTTCTTTGGAGGAACCAATTTGTTAAGGAAGCTACTGAAGAAGATATGAAGAAGAGGTATCGACATCTCTTTGAAACCGGAGTTATTCCAAATCAAGGTACTAATTCTCTTCTTAGTACTCTATAATTTGTATACTTTATGTGTTAGATTTGATTGTTGGGTGTTTGAACTGAATTATTGGTGTTACACCCTTAGCCTAGTAAGAGTAACCTCATTGGAGGATGAACGTTCCCAAGGGGAAGATATTGTAACATCTCGCTAATTGAAAGGACTAGCAAGAGTTAGAATTGGAAATAGTCATATTAGGAAAGAATGAAAAATCTGGAAATTTGTTAAGTTATGTTAACTTTGAGTTTTTAGTCAATTTCAAATGAACATAACTCCTAGCTCAGGATGCGTTAGGTGTTCTTAAAGATACCATAGGAAATATCTTGGATTTATCTTTCCAACGCTGCTGAGTTTGCACGATTCTTAGTTTATATGAGTGAGATATGGCCATTGGAAGTTGGGATGTTCAAATAAGGAAAGTGTAATACGGATTTTGGAAGGGTTGTTTGGTCTTTTCCATACCAAATTACTTTATTTCGTTTTTAGGAATTTAATTGGGCTCTCAACTTAACTTGGTCAGTTTACGCTTTTGAAAACTAAGTTAGGGTTTTGAGAGAAGAGAAATGAAGAGGAGAAAAGAGGAGAAGGAGCAAGAATCATCAAATTCTTCAAGAATTGCTTGTGGATTTCGTCAAGGGGTGATCCGTACGAGGTATGTGAGATCACATAGCATTGGGTTAGTTTGCCCACGCGCCAATCATGATTCAATTCAGCGAAGGTATATTGATTTGAAAGTAAATCCTATGAGTTCTTGATGTAAATTCGCTTGAAACCTTATGGGTTCTTGAGGTTGATTCATGTATTTAGGTGTGATTTCAAGTTGAATCTTTTATATATCAAGGATATAGTCGATTTTAAGCGTTTGGACAAAGAACCAAGTTGAAATAGTGGGTTTAGATTTGAAAACCGAGCAAGCAAAGTGGGAGTGGATCTGGGTAGGGGCCTGGGGCACCACCCTAGCCAAAGCGACCCAAAAGTGTCACACTCCAAGCCTACACCCTGGGTGGGACTGGCACTCGTGAACCATTGATGGCCCCAAGTGAACCCTTGCCCTGGCTTACTTACTCAGTGGAAGACGTAACTTATCAAAGATAACTCATATAAAACTTAGAATGTTATAAATAAAACATTCTACTAGCCAATTAGGAAAACTCAACTCTCAACATAAGATAATGAAAATGAAAATACTAAAGAACTAACATTTGACTGTCTATGAAGCCTCTAAACAACTGAGATGGATGTCGGGACAAGACCCACGACATCCTAATGAGCTAATGGATCCTCCGGAAAGCAAGGATGCTCACCACAAGACTCTGAGTGCTCAACTGGATCAACGATACGCTGGATGTTGATCCTGGTTACATGTGGTAGCATCATATGAAGATAAAGGCCAAATGGCATCAGTACATTGAATGTACGAGTATGCGAGGGAAATTCTAAAACAAGACATAAGCTTGAAAGGAATTGAAGAACTTATCTCGCTCAACTTAACTCCACATAAGTGAACTCATTTCAATATAAAGCAGTTTT